CTTCTTTGCCCCTTGGCATTAGGCAAGGCCCTGTGACTTGCTTAGGCCAATGAGAAATGAGTGGAATTGACATGTATTACTTCCACACAGAAGCCTGAAGAACCAGTGTCTGATCTGCCTCTGTCCCTTGCTACTGCTGCCACAATTGTCACGACACCCAGAGAGGAGCCTCCTGCAGCCTGGGCCCCTGATGGCAGAGCTCCCAGGCAACCCACGATGGACAGACAGCATGAGCCAAAAATACACCTTGGTCAGTTTGGCCTGCCAAGACCACGGAGCAGCCTAACCAAGACCATCCTGACTGATACAAGCCCTATGCCTGTGATATTTAAATACTAATGAGTAACTTCAATATGCAACTGTCGTGGCTTGACTTTGCTACAAAGGAATAAACTTCATTAAGTGGTGGACTGATACCCAGGTTAACCATTTTAACGAGATTTGGGCTTGATGTGGTTACGTGAAGGCATGGTTATCGCTAGCGAGTAAGTACCCTGGGTGTCTGTGCTTCTATAGCTGAACACGCAATGGCCTTTCGAAATGCTTTGGTAAAGACACATCCCGCATCCACAAGCTATGCCACGTGCTAATTTTATCAATTCAAAAAAGTTCAAACTGGGGTTAAGATCACATTTTACTTCTATAATTGGCACCATCAGGGAAATATCTAGAAACTCAGGCTAGAAAGATTACCCCTGTGGTGAATTTAGAAAGGCTGAACTATGTTTAATACGTCCTGGGGGACTGTCCAAGTCTGTGGATTCTGGAGTGACTCATTTAACGGGTCCAAGGCTGACAGTAGCAAGGTACACGTGACTCAACCCACCCAAAGATATCGTGTCTGCATGCCTTCACGGTCCAAGTGCCAAGTGCATCCTTCTTGAAGTGACCCAACCAAAGAAAAGATTTTGACCTGGTGGGATTTTCTGGGCCAAGGTAGAATCAAAGCACTCCTGAAAATTTGCCCTCAGGGTATCAGAGCGAGCAACCTGAGCTGTTAGGTCCAGTCAGGCAGGCACAGCTTGGTGTCTTAGCAGAGTTCATTGGTAGCCTCTGCTGGGCGTGGAAGTCCTGCATTCTGACTCAATCTGCCCTTGAAAATCAGATGGACCCTCAGATCTGTGCTGGGCAGCCGCCAGAGGGGACTTAGGGGAAGTAGGTATGTCTTAGCCAAATGCTGGGGAAAGAGCAAATCAAAGTAGCATCACAGCGTGACTGGCCAATGAAAAGCTAAAGAGCTGCACAGGCTCGACATGAGGCAGAGGGCCCATGACTGCTTGTGAACTGTCAGATTCCCAAGGAAGAAGAAACTCACATCCACCTGACCTCGGGAAGCGTGACGGCAAATCTAGTTAAGGACCAGCCGGTGCCTTTGTACAAGCCAGTCAGTGCTGGGCCAGGCCCACCAAGGTGGGCCTTACACTCCCAAGTTCATTTACTGGCAAACGGAGTTGCATTGAGGGGAGGATAGGGTAGGGGGCCACGCGGCCCTGTGGACACAGATTCCACAGGAAGAATCCCACTGCTGCTCAAAGGCGGTCCCAGGATTGACAGTGTTCTGAGAACCGGGAGCAGGGCTGCGGATGACCCCCGAGGGGACACTCACTTGCCGCCCCTGCTCCTGGCACAGGAGCCACAGGACAGCATCAGGCTCACTCTGATTACTTAACTCCAGACAGACCCTGGCTCCTCAGGCCTGAATGTCATCTCACTCTACCTGAGCCTCCCAAGCCAGTGTGCTGAGGACTGGTGGCGTTCTTGGTAGGTCTGCTCGGTCTTAGGTAAGCTTTGCGTAACTATAAGGCTCGAGGAGATACCGGGTGGGGAGGGAGGCACTTCAGGCTGCAGAGAAAGCGTTCAGCAATGTGTGGCCCCCAAAGGTGCCCAGTCTGAATCCCAGGACCCGTGAGCACGTCACCTTCCGGGGCAAAAGGGGCTTTGCAGGTGGGATTCAGTTAAGGCTCTTGGGATGGGAGGTTATCGTAGATTATCTGGGTGGGTCGGCTGTGAGCACAAGGGGCCTTGTAAGAGGAGTGGGCCAGAGTCAGAGACGGCAATGGGACTGCAGCGCTGAGGACACAGGAGGGCCCCACACGAAGGAATTCAGTGGCCTCTTCTAGCTGGAAAAGGCAAGGGCAGCGCCTCCCCGGGAGCCCCCAGAAGGAATGCGGCTCTGTCCACATCTTGATTTTAGCCCAGTGAGATTGATTCTGGACTTCGGACCTCCAGGACTGTAAGACAGTACATTTGTGTCTTACTAAATGTGTGGGGCTTTGTTACAGCAGCTGTGGGAAGTGACTGCACAATGAAGACATTTCACCTGGATGTCCCCTTCAGCCCTGTACTAATTTCCCTCAGACACAGACAGGCCGAGTTAGTTCCCCGGGAGAGTCACTGAGGGGCTGCTTCGGTGCGATGCTGCTGCAAATGAGAGCATCTTATAACGACGATACGATGGTTGGACAGAATTCTGTTTTATGACATTTTAAGACATTCTGGATGGGTCCCAAGGTCTGTATGAGCTTGCGAGTCATCAGATTAAATCAGTATATAATTCCCTCCCTTTTCATAAGAATTACTTACTGTACTCCTTGCTATAAACAAGGGTAGTATTTCTAAGTCTTCTGTTTTTATGGGCTCAATTCCACTTTTCTTCAACAGAAAAAAAAAATGGAATGAGAGATTAATTCTGGACCTGAGATAAACTGCCTTATAACTGTCTAAATTAACATCTAAAAGACCCTGATGTGATCAGATTTCTAATCTGGTTTAAACACAGAAATCTACAAACATAACAGTAATAGTTTTCCCTATGGAATTCCCGAGTGTTGGGAGTGGGTTATGGAAACTCTTTCCTAAGGTCAAGATGGAAAGAAATTCAGAGAAGTGCAAATTAAAGCCACAATGAGATACCACCTCACTCCTGTCAGAATGACTATCATCAATAAATCAACAAACAACAAGTGCTGGCGAGGCTGTGGGGAAAAGGGAACCCTGGTGTATGGCTGGTGGGATTGCAGATTGGTGCAGCCACTATGGAAAATGGTATGGCTATTCCTCAAAAAATTAAGAATAGAACTACCTTATGACCCAACAATTTCACTCCTGGGTATTTATCCAAAGAAATCCAAAACACTAATTTAAAAAAATATATGTACCCCTATGTTCACTGCAGCATTATTCACAACAGCCAAGATATGGAAGCAACCTAGGTGCCCATCCACAGACGAATGGATAATGAAGACGTGGCAAATAAACATAATGGATTATCAGTCAGCCATAACAAAGAAAGAAATCTTGCCATTTGTGACAACATGGATGGACCTCAAGGGTATCATGCTACGTGAAATGAGTCAGACTGAGAAAGACAAATACCATATGATCTCACTTATATGTGGACTCTAAAAAAAGAAAATCAATGAACAGGCATAATTATGTATGGTGTCAGACGGACACTAGACTCATCAGGGAGATATACACTTTGTAAGTTGTGTAAGTGTCTAAACACCTTAAACGAATATAATATTGAATGTCAACTGTCATTGAAATATTTTATAAATTAAGGAAAAAAAAAAGAGGGTAGGAAATCCTAGTAAGGCGCCTTTTCAAGAGAGACACGAGGAAATTTGCCGCACGTGGAATCTGCCACAGGGTGCTGTCAGTACAAGACGGCGCCGTGGTTGTCACCCATCCTCATGCACCTGCACCACCCAGTGGCTTGCTCCCCCTGGACCTCTGGGTCCAGCCCCGGAGCCTGTAGGTTTGCAGGGGAGCCAGGAATCTGTATTTCTAATGAGCTCCCCGGTGGTGCTCTTGCAGCTGGTCAGGGGCCACACTTAGAACCGCGGCAGGAGGGGGACCCCTCTTACACAGGCCTGATTTCTCACCTGTGCTGAGAAGGGTCATGACCTTACGTCATCTGACTGAACTGTCCCTGCCAAGCTAGTTAACACCCTACAGCTGTTGAAGTATCTCCAACGTCTACTGACCTTGAAGCTAGGGTGCAGCCAGCCTGGCTGCACATCAGCATCGTGCAGCCTTTAAACCGCTCAGAGCCCGGGCCTCACTTCAGACCAATTAAATCAGAATGGGGGTGGGCGGTGGGCAGGCTTCAATAGTTTCTCAAGCTCCCCACGTGATCCAAAGAGCAGCCAGGATGGAGAACTGCTGCTCTAAGCAAACGTGAGGGGTGACCGAATGAGGCCAACTGCTGAAGCAGACGTTCCACGGGGCGCTGCGCCCGGGCCTGCCCTCTCCAGTGCTGGGCTGCTGCCCCTCACACCGTGACACATAATAGGTGCTCAGTAAACACTAGGTAAATGAATGAGAACCAATCAACCAGCAAACGTGTGGAGGACTATCGCCTCCTTTCTCCAGGGCACCGGGACAAATACACGGATAAACGGTGTCATGAGAAATTATGAACCCTCGTGAGGGCAGTGACCCTACAGTAAGCGGAGCTCCTCTGAGAAAACTCTGCTAGGGAGATAATGCCACAGAAGTCCAAACAGATAGCATGACAACTAGGGATGAGAACTAGGAGACGTGTTCTGGGTCCGCAACAGGGGTTGGCAAACCATGACCCACAAGCCAAGTCTAGCTGCCTCCTAGTCTCACAAATCAAGTTTAACTGGCACGCAGCCATGCCCGCTGGTGTCCACACTGTCTGTGGCTGCTTTCTCACTGCAGGGGCACAGCTGAGCATCTTCAGCTGAAACGGTTCGGTCAGCAAAGCCAGAAATGTTTACTCACCGGCCCTTTAGAAGACGAGTTTGCCAACCCCTTCCCTGGAGAAATAAGAAGACGTGCACAAACAAAATGCAATGTGACTGCCTTTAGGTGGTGGGGTTATGGACGCCTACTTTCTTTTGTTTCTCTTCTATTAGCTAGCTTTTGAGTTGCAAGTGTACAGGGGCACGTGTGTTTAAACCATAAACCTAAGAAGAACAAGAAAACGTCTGCCTCCGTGTAGGCACGAGGGCTGAGGTGACAAGCGGTACCTTGTTTCCAATGGCCTTTTTGGGGGGGAAGTTGTAGGCTCGCACTTGAGGGTATTTGCTCTGTAGCTTGTGGTGCAGACTTCGGAACTCTGTGTACCGCCGGTAGACGTTCCACTCATCATCTCTTATCCGGATGTAGACCTGTCAAGAAAAGGAAAGAGAGACAATGGATGCTGCTCTTGAAACTTCATTACAAAGGGGTGGGGTTTCGGCAATGCTCCATCCAAGGAAACCAGCTCTGCGAGAGCAGAGGCCACCTGCGTCTCCCGTGCCACTGGCTACCCAGTGCCTGGCACAGAGAGGGGACTCAGTGGTCATGAGGGAACAAATGGGGACATGGCAGATGGATTAGGCAGGTTACAAGAACAACATGTCGTACGTCATTTCCCCAATCAACCTGAGAGATGTGTGTTTCACTCTTTTGTCATATGCATATCGCAGCAACGACAGGTTGCTGGTGAGACTCCATGCCTCCTTTCTGGCTACGCATTTCCTCATCTGTAAAATGAATGATTGACAGGACCTCCTCCCAAGGTGGTACGGACGGCATTCAGGTTGGAGGCAACGCAGCTGTGCCTGGGACCACGCAGACCACCATGCAGGAGGCGGGCCTCAGCTTGGGGAAGGACGGAGGGGCCAGAGTGGAGATCAGCCCACCTGGCTGGAAGGTCACGTCCAGTGCGATAAGCACAGCTGGGGCATAAAACATCTTTATTTTAATCAAGTTGTGATTCCCAAAAGAACACTTTGGAGGTACAAAGCAACTATGTCTCGAGGGAAAACAGTGGGAGAGGATCAATGCATTTAAACAAATTACATGAGTTAAAAACCAGCACAGAGTAAAATCTCCAGTGACAAATAGCTGTTGCAGCCTGCACCCAGTGAAATGCCAATGCACACCGTAAAAACCTCTGATGTAATGATAAACACAGGCGTCTCTACTGCGTGTGACGCATTCCGATTCTGCACTTCTCATAACACATCCGTGAGCCAATTGTTCCACTCCACGCAATCATGAGTCCCTTCCTGCTTCTTCAACGGTCCCTTCCTGGCCTTCCATGGTCCTGTGGGTTCTCCTCTTGTTCCCATGGCCTAAAGGCGGAGGTTTCACAGGGGGCCCTCCTCTCCCCGACACGAGCATCCACTCTCAGGTCCACACGGCTCAGTTTTAGGTCAATGACTCACAAACCTGTATGTCTAGTCGGGATCTCTGATATGAACTCCAGACATGGACCTGGTAAGACTCATCGTGTCAACATCTGACCCCGAGATCTGCCCTGTAAGCCCACCCCTCCTTTTCCTGGGGTGTCTCGCTCTTTCAGTGGATGGACCACTGAGTTGCCTGAGCCAAAAATCTGGGCATCAATTTGACCGCCCCCGTTCTTTACCCCCACCCCTCAACATTCAAGTACTGAACAATAGGGCCCACTCCCCCACCCCTAAAATCCACCTCCTGAGCTGTCCCCACCCCTGCCGGGACCACCATAATCTAGTTGTCCTTCCAGCCTGCCGTTTTCCCACTCAATGCATTTCCATCTCCCTTGTCCGAATTCCTCCAATGACCGCCCGTGAAGGGTGCTCCTGCCAGCTGGGCTCTGGGGTAGGTCCACGGGCAGCCTCCGAGGGCTGGGAAGGCTCCTGCATCATCACGACCACCGTACTTCAGGGTCCACCCCTCGCTGTGGCAAATGCCCATTTGCCTGCATTTTATTTACAATCCTTTAATGTCTTAAATTCTTACAAACCCCTTTACAACCAGCACATCGCCAATGTGCATGCCTGTCTTTACAACATTCTACACGACGCTCGGGTCGGAGCAAATATCCGGTCCCACAGGTAGCATCCCGGGCCCTCCAAGCTTCTCCTCCCTGCACCCCTGCTCGGGGCACAGCAGGCATTCAAGAAGTCTGGACTTTGGGGTGCCAGAGTTAGAAAGGACCTCAGACGCCATTAGCTCAACCCTTCCTTTTTCAGGCCACAGGAACTGTGTGACACATACCCCCTCCCAAACCTGTATTCTCTACTTGGAGAAGGTGGACCCCAGTCTGGCTGCAGTGGACCAGTGACTTGGGGAAGCCACCTGGATTGAAGATACGAGTAAACCACCCAAGAAAAGGGAACACCATGGGCGTGATGACCAGGGCAGGAAGGGGAGGAAGACCCTTTTGGGAAAAAGGAGGGGATGTGACATCATAGTGTGATCAGCAAAAAGACACCACGCACGGAGGTGGCTAAGAGCACAGATGCTGCAGCCAAACTCCTGGCTCTGCTGCACACTAGCTGTGTGCCCTGAGAAAGTCACTTAACTTCTCTGTGCCTCCACGTCCTCCCCTGAGAAATGAGGACAAAATTACCTCCCTCACTGGGACTTGGGAAGATTAAATGAGCTCACACCTGTAACGGGCTTAGATGGGGACCTGGTACATAGATGTCACGTGACTGTCCAATAAATCAGTAATTTAAAATAGCCTTATTGGGGATATTAATTAGACTTACTGTGGTGATAATTTTGCAATATATACAAACATTGAATCATTATGGTATACACCTGAAACTGTCATAATGTTATATGTCAATTATACTTCAATAAAAACATTTTAAAAATAACCTTACTGGTTAGATTGCCACTGGGAAATGACAAAGTTTTGGATTTTGGAAATCTCTGATCCTGGGGATCAGCTTTCACATGAATCCTGTCCAGTGGTTTGACTGATGGAGGCTGAGCCGTAGTGAGACATCAAGACATTCATGGTTGGCTCAGGAAATCTAGCAGCATCCGAGAAGTCAGCACCTCCACCACTCACCAGCTATGTGGGCAAATGGCGTCTTTCTGGTTCTTGGTTTACTCATCTGAGAAATGGGTATAATCCAGAAAATGCCTGAATGCATCCATAAAGATGCCTGGCCCCTCCCGTGCTAACTGCCGCCGCTGCTGCTGTGATCATTATTATTTATCGTCAAAAGCATGTAGTTCTGCAAACTTTAAGAAGCACTGCCACTGAAGTCACGCCTCTCCTAGCTTTATGATCGCTAAGATTTTTGCTTTGTAAAGAGCAAGTATGCAGATTACCACTTACTCACAGTCTTAGGGCTTAGAACAAATTGCGCTGTGGGTCATTAACATCACTTAATAAAAACACAAATTATAATATCCCTCCCCCTTAAAAAGCTCCACAAATGTGAATCCCTAAACATACTAGTTCTCAGAGGCATGAAAGCAGCTGTGCGCGCTGAGCCTGGGCAATGTGGACCCCTACTCCCACCCCTCCTGGCCACTGTGCGGCTCCCAGGAGTGTCCCCTGCTTCTCGGCCTTGTTTCCTCATGTATAATGTGCGGGGCTGGACGGTGTCTGGGTCCTTCCACAGCCCTCAAGTTTTGTTCTCCAAGTCCTCAGGTGACCTACAAACTCCAAATACTTCACTGGGCCTCGTCCCATCCACACTGCACTCCCTTCCCATTGTGGAGACCAAGGTGTCCTTGGAACCAGGTGGGAGGCCAGGCCTGGGGCTTGACTTGGGAGGATTTAATACCCGAGAGGAAAGGCAACAGCAGAACCCTCCTTGTAGCGTCTTTCTTCAAAGCTCAGTTGTCCGGGAGTCACTCTGCCATGCTGCGAGAGCACCTCAGAGGGACACTGGGTGGCAAGCGCTGATGCTCACCAAAGAACCATGGGCAGAGGGGTTTCTGGGTGCTTCCCTCGTGTTTGGCGGCCATCCTCACTCCTGCCCCTGCGAACAGCATGGACTGAGGCCCTCTCAAAGGTGAAAGGTGGTCACTGGGCATTTCTGGCACCAGCTTCTGTTAGGTCTGGAGGCCAATGGAGAATGAGGGGAGGAGGACAGTCACAGAGCCCCTGGGGACCAGCCACGGACTTCAGGTCAGGCACCCATGTTCCCATTCTCTGCTGAGATCTGGATCCTGGTGAAGCCCCGATCTCTCTGGTTAGTAGTCAAAGTTATGCAGCTTGAGGAGAAATTCAGCAAGAGCGGAGGGGCCCACTGCCAGACCCAAAAGAGTAAAATGACATTTTTTAGAACTTCAATAAAATATAAATACCTTCATGCTAACACTTGCCACTTATGAAGCACCTGCGGGCTATGCCAGGCACCCACCTGCCTCACCTTTCATCCTCAGTTAATCTGCAAGGCAGACGGTGTGAACTTGGGCCCCTACAGGTGAAGACATGGATTCAGAGAGAATAGGTGACTTGCGGGGGGAGAGATAGGAGACTTGAACCCAGGTCTGCCCAACGTGTCTAAGGCCCAGTGCTTTCTGTTACAGCACGTGGCTGCCATAACCAGGACTCCTGGAGGCCTGGAAGCCCCAAACCAGCAATGCTTGGGGACAACAGCTGCCAAGGATGGTTCCTGCACAATCCCTCTGTGGCCCAACTGTCCCTGTTCTGGGCAGATCACGTATCCTCAGAACGGTCTCCAATCGCGCCTCCTCATTTATGCCTCTCCCTTCAGGAACCTAATGCCATTAAAATCACCCAGAATTACCTGAATGGTCCACCTCAACGGCAATGCTTTTAGTATCTAAAATTGGGAAACTTTCTCTGCAAATTAACTTGTCCTTGAATTACACTGAACCAAATTGGGTACTTATTTCATTAAAGAATTGAAAGAGCTTATGCTCCAAATTGTTTTTTTCTTTTTTTCTTTTTTTACTTTAAAGGGCTCTGCCATCCAAATTAAGTCTGATAGGCCCAATCCTTCTGCAAGAGCCATAAAGATAATAATTCCTTGGAGGGATAAAAAGAGTTGACCTCTTCTGGCAAAACCAAGTTCCCTTTTTAAAACAAGCAATAAAAAGCCACTCCAAGTCCAATCTCCTTGACTCAGCAAAAGAAAAATAAAATAGGAGGCTAATATCTGTGATCAGAAATCGGAGCAAACCCTCACTTCTCTGTTTTAAAAGGAAGATAGAATCTTGAGATTCCTTTTCCACTGCGAAGAGCAACCCCAGTTCTGCCTGTAATAACACTGGGGTAAGGAGAGGTTAGCGGGGAGAAATGGCAGAAACCTCCGTCCATCAATGCCTCGCACCCAGAACAAACTCTCGTGTGGATAGGGCTTGTGGGAAATGCTTTCATTTAGAAGTGAAAGAACACCCCCCAGGGCTTTCCTACCAGCCCTGG